TTTCCTGTTGATTTATGGCCTTATACAGCTCATTCAGTGCAATCTTAATGCCAGCATCGGTTTGTGGTGGTTAATAGACAGCTATGAAAAATATAGATGAAAACTCTCTTGGTAAATAGTGTGGTCTACAGCTTATCATAAGATACTCTACCTCAGGCGAGCAAAACCTCGAGACTTCCTTAGTATTTGATTTTGTGCACCAGCTGTTGTTTACAAATATACACAGACTGCCACCCCTTGTCTTACCGGAGTCAGCCGTTCTATCCTGCCGATGTAGCGTATAGCCCGCTAGCTGTATGTTATCCATGTCGTCGTTCAGCCCCGACTCGGTGAAACATAAGATATTACAGTTTTTAATGTCCCGTTGGTAGGATAACCGTAATCTTAGGTCATCCAATTTGTTCTCCAATGATTGAAGATTGGCTAATAGGGTTGATGGAAGTGGCAGTTTACTCGTTCGCCGTCGGATCCTTACAAGGCACCCCGACCTACGTCCACGATATCTCTGTCTCTTTCTCATGCGAATGACGGGGATTTGGGCCTTGTCGGGTGTCTGTATGATATCCTTCGCGGCCGCCTCGTTGAAGAAAAAATCTTCGTCCAATACGAGGTGAGTAATCGCTGTCCTGATATCCAGAAGCTCTTTTTGGTTATAAGAGACGATGGCAGAAACATTATGTACAAAATAAATTACAAATAACGCGGAAAAACACACATAATAGTACAATTGGTTAGAGGGCTGTAAAACGGCAGCCATCTTCTCCGGCGCTGTCTTTACCGTTAATTCCTATCATTTCTAATCTACAATGCTTGTTTGGTTATGGTAATTTCTGTTAATGCATTCAATATATTATTATTCCTTTTACTGTTCTCGTTGTCGGAGCGGACACATTGTTTGCAGAGCGCACAATCTATTTTTCTTCTGGTGACCAAGATCTCTGGCTCCCTCTTGAGTCATTTGTGTCTTATTTCATCAAACAGTAAGCTTAAAGCATCAGACAAGCTCAATGCATATAGTTGATTTTATTAAAACATATAGGGTGTGTCTATATATGGAAAAATACACGCTTAACATTTTAGACCAATCAATTGGTCGAAAGAACAGACCACTTTCGGTCAATCAAGATTTGTTTTAGTCGGGGACAGTCCTACTTTGGACCTACCTATAATACGAGCTCAACTTTAATACAGATCCTGGATCAGAACCTCTCCTTTAAGAGACTGGGTCAGTACTTTGCCTTAAAGAAAAAACTTACTGAAAAGGCCAGTCTCATAACAGCTGCTGACGCATCCACACATCTACAGTCAGATTCTCTTTTCTTTCCTTTCGGTCTCACTCTCCCACCTTCTGCTAATGTGGTATGTTCTCTCCTGACAGACAAGTAGTTAGGCAATGTGAACAGGTCAGGTGCAGAAATACAGGCTGCCTTGCATAGGACAACCTCAAGCCTGTCAAGTGACCTACTAAAACCCTCTGCAAACACATAACTTTGTGGATACACATATCTTTCACAAAACTGGTTTAGTTAGCATCCTGGAATATTTATCTTGTCATAAACTAAATGTTTGAATTCAAACAAGGAAATTTAGAGATTTAGGCCTAGGGCTACATCGTGTAAATACTCAAATGCATTGCAGTGTAGCCCAAAGTTGCACTTCAACACAAAATAATTCCTGGAGCGGCCTATCAGAATCGGGCTCCCGAGTGGCGCAGCGGTCTAAGGCACTGCATCTCAGTGCTTGAGGCGTCACTGCAGACCCCCTGGTTTGATTCCAGGCTGTATCACAACCGGCCGTGATTGGAGTCCCATAGGGCGGCGCACAATTGGCCCAGCGTCGTCCGGGTTTGGCCTGTGTATGCCGTCATTGTAAATAATAATTTGTTCTTAACTGACTTGCCTAATTAAATAAAGGTAAAATAAATAAAAAATAAAAATCTGACACTCATTCTCCATCTCATGAACATGCTGGGAGTGCTGCTTGTAGGCCTGCAACGTTTGCTCCTGAAGGGGAAAGGAGACTGTCTGCTTAGAGGGTGGACTCACTACCGGCTGATTTAGGGGGACAAACCCAATAGGAAATGCAGAGATATCGGTCACCTGATTGTGACACTATGAAACTGATTATCATATAGCACTATGGCATATGACTATGCCTTGTGAGACTAGGCCTATAAAATGAATAGGACAGGCCAGAACTGCTAGGATGAGACAGACACTGCTGTTAAAGACTGAGTCATGGCAGCGCTATGGCTCTGAATGTGACTCTATAGACCTGACTGCATTATGTAAGATGGCCTGGTCAAAGAGCAAATCAGGGATTTCATCTCAGTCTGTGTGTGAGAAAGAGAGCAAGAAGGAGAAAGGATTTCATCCAATTATATGTTGTTGGCAATGTATACTGAACAAAAATATAAACGCAACATGTAAAGTGTTGGTCCCATGTTTCATGAGCTGAAATAAAAGATCCCAGAAATTTTCCATACGCGCAAAAAGCTTAACTCTCTCATATTTGATGCACAAATTTGTTTACATCCATGTTAGTGAGCATTTCTCCTTTGCCAATATAATCCATCCACCTGACAGGTGTGGCATATCAAGAAAATGATTAAAGAGCATGATCATTACACAGGTGCACCTTGTGCTGGGGACAATAAAAGGCTACTCTAAAATGTCCAGTTTTGTCACCCAACACAATGCCACAGATGTCTCAAGTTTTGAGGGAGTGTGCAATTGGCATGCTGATTGCAGGAATGTCCATGAGAGCTGTTGCCAGATCATAAGCTGCCTCCAACGTTGTAATTAGAGAAATTGGCAGTACATCCAACCGGCCTCACAACCGCAGACCACGTGTAACAACGCCAGCCCAGGACCTCCACATCTGGCTTCTTCACCTGTTGGATGGTCTGAGACCAGCCACCTGGACAGCTGATGATACTGACAAGTATTTCTGCCTGTAATAAAGCCCTTTTGTGGGGGAAAACTCACTCTGATTGGCTGGGTCTGGCTCCCCAGTGGCTGGCCTGGCCCACCCAACATTCTGCTGTTTCCTCATCTTTCCAATGTTGTTTATACAGCTCCAGACTCAGTGCAACAATGTTGCAATAACAGATTGAATGGTTGTTGATGTTCCAGAGAAACAATTAAAATAGCGTGAACGCAGCACTGCATCATGTCCCTGTTGTCCACCGAGTCAAAGGAATCAGTTTTGCAAACTTAGTGACTTTGTCGCTATATTTAGCGAGTTTAGACCCCTCTAGCGACACATTTTCAAAAAAAGCGACAAATCTAGCGACTTTTTCTGGTGTTATTGGAGACTTTTGGAGACTCTGACATGAAAGCACGCATTGTTCTTACTCTTCTCAATGAGCAGTGGGTGCTTGTTACCCCGTCCCAAAGCACTCACAGGCGACCCAGTCCTCGCGCAGCAGTCCCTCCCAGCTGCAGTCAGAGCAGGCGATGTTCACCCCTCCGCGTCCAGACTGCAAATGAATCGCGCATGCGGGAAGCCGCCGCTGGCTGATCCCGCCCTGGCTTACATTCAGGGCGGGATGTAAATGTAGGTTGTTTTTTACTCACTTTTTGTCTCTCCCACGACATTATTTCTCTCTCCTACAGCTTCCATCACAATTACATGCAAATGGCCAATTATGCAAATTAGGTGATGACGTCATTTAGAGACTTTTAGGACAGCCAATAGCTACTTTCCTTACTGAGGAGTTGGCAACACTGAAAGGAATTAGGCTAGCAGTATATTTAGATCATATTGATTCACAACAGGAAAACGTGAACTGGGGAGAAAACACATCCAATTAAAATGTAAATATGGTGATTTCAATGTGCTATATCCAGTGACTTATAGGCTTACATCATTGGCTATACCCCGTCAATTTTTTTCTCACCATACCGACACCTAATGTTGCGGTAAACAAAAAACACAAGGTGCATCATATGGGTGCATCAATGACTCACCAACTGAAAAACAAGCTCAGGTTTGAGCTGACCATTCGAATGCGTCCAACAAATTTCACTAAATCCCGGCAAAACGGCGACGGTTAACGGTTCTGAGTGTAGCGTCCGTTCTGCAACTGAAACTTTGAGAAACCGTCAACCAACCGTTCGGTGAAGGGTGCGTTTCCCATCTCTGTCGAGCAGATCATGCTAAACGCAACGAGGTGGAATCCCCAAACTCCGCTGATTCACAGCGAGCGACCAGAGCACGGAGAGCGCACTTCCTGATCTTCGGTGGGGTGTGGAGCTACTTGACAGTTTAGGAGCAGTATTTATCTTCACAAGCTAAACGCCCCTCACAATGTCAGTTAAAAGTCTTCACAATTAATGAATAAGCGATTCAGCCGTGCTAGGTAAACCTGTTTCTTGAGTTCGGCGTTTAAATCAGAAATGATTTATCTTGTCTCACTGGCACCCCCGGCGTTGGTACATTCCAGGATGTGCGACGTTTACAAACCTCTCACTTCACTGTCAAATATTTGGTCAAAGCTGGGGTAAAGAGGATTAAGAAAATAACTGCAAACATTCTGTATGTTGTATCTGTTTATTTGTTATCTGGCAATCATTTATTACATTGAACAGTAATTTTTGAGACAATGAAGTGACTTGTGTTTAATCAAAGATAAGACTATAATAATACTAACTATTCAGTGCACAACCTAAACTCTGGCCCTGCAAACAAAAGAGAGACAAATTAAAATGGTTGTTTAATGTAGGGTGGCAAGTAGCCTAGTGGTTAGAGCGTTGGGCCAGTAACTAAGGTCGCTGGTTCGAATACTTGAGCCGACAAGGTGAAAAATCGAATTTGCTCCAGGGGCTCAGTACTACTATGGCTGGCCCTGTAAAACAACATATTTCACTGCACCTGTAATAAGGTGTACAGGTGTGTCAAACCCCTCCGCGGGCGTCCTTGTCCCGTTGGAATAGGTAACGTCAGACTTCACCAAGAGTCATTACGCCTATGTTGGACAACCCATAGCCAGAGTTTGGTCAGCCCTTGCTGACGTGGTCTCCAGCTTTAGCCTCGGCAACAAAGCGCTTCATCAGAGCCATTAGCTCCTCCTCTGCGATGTCATTGCTGCAGGGCCTGGAGGTCCGGAGAACACATACAGAGAGGAATAAATTCATTGCGGATGTCTCTGGTGGCGAAGAAGTTGGTTTAGAGAATGTGCTCTACTTGGCTGCCGAAGGATGCAGGGTCACCTTCTGGACATAGAGGGAGCTATTCGTTCACTAAATGCCACTGTATCCCAGGCCAGCTAACACGCAATAACTATTGCACTATGGCTGCGTGTGGACAGGCAGCCCAATTTTGTTCTTTCTTTACTAATTGGTATTTTGACCATTCAAAATTAGCTCTGAAAAATATCTGATGTGGGAAAAATATCAGAATTGGGCAGCCAGTGTGTCATAGACTGTGTGAGTGAATGTTAACGCATTAATAATAATGTCTAGTTCTGTCTTGGGGCGATGCGTGCGTTGTTGATTAGCACATCCAGACCCCGTACTCCTTCATGAAATGCTGCCGTGCAGCCTGGATGCTGGCCGGGTCTGTAATGTCCAGCTGGAGGAGTCTGGGCTTGAGTCCCTCCCTCTGCAGATCCTCCACAACCATGGCCCACCTCTGGACGTCCCAGGCCCTCAGATACACATCCCCTTTAAAGCCCTGGCACAGTGCCTGCACTATGGCTAACCACAGGCCCAGCGTGGAACCAGTGACCAGAGCCACCTGTGGGCCAGACATCACCTCAGAGAGACAGAGAGAGAAATCTAAAGCTATAGATTCTGAAAGCTACAGAGCAGGGTATTCAAATATTTCCCTATAAGGTTCAGACTTCTGTTCTACCTGATAATTCATTGCACACACCTTGGTGTCCCAGTTCTAAACCCTTCCCTGATTAGAAATATATATAAAAAAACTGTGGAACTGGCTTCAAGGTCCAGATTTGAATTTGAGGGCTATAGTCTGAGCTACCGGTAAACATACAATTCAAATCAAATCAAATCAAATCAGATTTTATTGGTCACATGCGCCAAATACAACAGGTGCAGACATTACAGTGAAATGCTTACTTACAGCCCTTAACCAACAGTGCATTTATTTTAAACAAAAAAAGTAAGAATAAAACAACAACAAAAAAAGTGTTGAGAAAAAAAAGAGCAGAAGTAAAATAAAGTGACAGTAGGGAGACTATATATACAGGGGGGTACCGTTGCAGAGTCAATGTGCGGGGGCACCGGCTAGTTGAGGTAGTTGAGGTAATATGTACATGTGGGTAGAGTTAAAGTGACTATGCATAAATACTTAACAGAGTAGCAGCAGCGTAAAAAGGATGGGGTGGGGGGGGCAGTGCAAATAGTCCGGGTAGCCATGATTAGCTGTTCAGGAGTCTTATGGCTTGGGGGTAGAAGCTGTTGAGAAGTCTTTTGGACCTAGACTTGGCACTCCGGTACCGCTTGCCGTGCGGTAGCAGAGAGAACAGTCTATGACTAGGGTGGCTGGAGTCTTTGACAATTTTGAGGGCCTTCCTCTGACACCGCCTGGTATAGAGGTCCTGGATGGCAGGAAGCTTTGCCCCAGTGATGTACTGGGCCGTACGCACTACCCTCTGTAGTGCCTTGCGGTCGGAGGCCAAGCAGTTGCCATACCAGGCGGTGATGCAACCAGTCAGGATGCTCTCGATGGTGCAGCTGTAGAATTCCCAAAACACATTACCATATGTTTAACTTACATGTCCTCAATATTAATTAAAGGTATGAAACACTTTATAGCAGTGATCACAAATCCAGAGAGCTAGTTTGTCAGCTGTTGCTCCAGCCCTGAGATAGCATACCTTATTCAACTAACTCCAGCCACCCAAGACATGGACTGTTCTCTATTCTACTGTCCGGCAGGCCATACCGGTGCATCAAGGCTCAGACAAACAGACTCCTAAACAGTGTCTATCCCCTGGCCATAAGACTGTTAATGGCTAACATCTACTGCTCTCCCCCTCAGACTATCCACACTGACTCTATGCCCATCCATAGGTCTCTACCCACTCAGACGCAACCTACGCTGCTGCTAAAATTACTATTGATTACATGTATTACTCCATTACACTGCTGTCCATTGATTATTGATTGCCATTCGTATTTATCCCGCTACTGGTCACTATTACTCCTGTTTACATGTGCAGTATATATTACCATTAGTATATTACCATAAGTATTTACTGTATATATTCCCGCTACCAGTCACTCTTCAGCCGCTTTACATGTATATCCAACTACCAGTCACTTTTATGTATAAACCCACCTCAACCACACCAGTTCCCCTGAATATTGAATAAGGTACTGGCATTGACCTGTATATACTTGCATTCTCGTGTTTCTAACTCAATTTGTAGTTCTTGTGGTTTTATTTTAATTACAAAATGTATTTATTTTTCTATTGCTATTTATATTATCATCATCACTGCGTTGTTGGGAAAGAGCTCTCAAGGTAAGAATCAAACTGTATTGTTGGGAAAGAGCTCTCAAGGTAAGAATCAAACTGTTTTGTTGGGAAAGAGCTCTCAAGGTAAGAATCGAACTGCATTGTTGGGAAAGAGCTCTCAAGGTAAGAATCAAACTGTTTTGTTTTACACCGGTTGTATCCTGTGCACGTCGTGAATAAACGTTGAAACTTGAATCAAGGTTCATGGTAGTTTAATCAGTTGTTTTAGTGCTGGCCTAGAACATTAGCCGGCATGCCCTGAAACTCGACAGGACTTGTTGGGGTATGCTGGTATGGAGTAAAATATGAATAATCTAAACATACATTAAAATGGAATTACCTGAGCAATTTAAGCAGTAGGCTGTTGTAGGAGTATGGTGACCCCTAAAGTCTAGGCTACAAATAACTTACAGAACAATTTGTGTCAGGTCATACGCAGTCACATGACCTTGTGGTCACTAGTGAATAAAGAATCCTTTTCATTCAAATGACGTTACGTTACAGCCTTATTCTAAAATTAATTAAATTGTCCCCCCCCCCCTCAATCTACACACCCCATAATGACAAAGCAAAAACAGGTTTTTAGAAATGTTTGCAAATGTATTAAAAATAAACTGAAATATCACATTTAATTTAGTATTCAGACCCTTTACTCAGTACTTTGAAGCACCTTTGGCAACCTTGAGTCTTCTTGGGTATGACTCTGCAAGCTTGGCGAGTTTCTTCTATTTTTCACTGCAGATCCTCTCAAGCTCTGTCAGGTTGGATGGGGTTTGTAGATTGTGGGGAAAAACACAATTTAATCAATTTTAGAATAAGGCTGTAACGTAACAAAACGTGGAAAATGTCAAGGGGTCTGAATACTTTCCAAATGCACAATATCACTTCCCAGTGTGGATGTAAAGTTGTTACAAAGTAGTATGGAGCACACCACTGGCTATGCAGAGCGCATAGTATGGACTGATATACCAAGAAGTGGCAGAGCATATTCCCATGAATGAGCGGAGGAGAGAGAACAATAATTTCTACATTCTGGCATTAATATCTGTTGAGGTCAAAAGAGCGAATACATTTAAGCAATAAGGCCGAGGGGGTTTGATATATGGGGAGAACAAGTATTTGATACACTGCCGATTTTGCAGGTTTTCCTACTTACAAAGCATGTAGAGGTCTGTAATTTTTTATCATAGGTACACTTCAACTGTGAGAGACGGAATCTAAAACAAAACTCCAGAAAATCACATTGTATGATTAAGTAATTAATTTGCATTTTATTGCATGACATAAGTATTTGATACATCAGAAAAGCAGAACTTAATATTTGGTACAGGAACCTTTGTTTGCAATTACAGAGATCATACGTTTCCTGTAGGTCTTGACCAGGTTTGCACACACTGCAGCAGGGATTTTGGGCCACTCATCCATACAGACCTTCTCCAGATCCTTCAGGTTTCGGGACTTTCAGCTCCCTCCAAAGATGTTCTATTGGGTTCAGGTCTGGAGACTGGTTAGGCCACTCCAGGACCTTGAGATGCTTCTTACGGAGCCACTCCTTAGTTGCCCTGGCTGTGTGTTTCGGGTCGTTGTCATGCTGGAAGACCCAGCCACGACCCATCTTCAATGCTCTTACTGAGGGAAGGAGGTTGTTGGCCAAGATCTCGCGATACATGGCCCCATCCATCCTCCCCTCAATATGGTGCAGTCGTCCTGTCCCCTTTGCAGAAAAGCATCCCCAAAGAATGATGTTTCCACCTCCATGCTTCACGGTTGGGATGGTGTTCTTGGGGTTGTACTCATCCTTCTTCTTCCTCCAAACACGGCGAGTGGAGTTTAGACCAAAAAGCTCGATTTTTGTCTCATCAGACCACATGACCTTCTCCCATTCCTCCTCTGGATCATCCAGATGGTCATTGGCAAACTTCAGACTGGCATGGACATGCGCTGGCTTGAGCAGGGGGACCTTGCGTGCGCTGCAGTATTTTTATCCATGATGGCGTAGTGTGTTACTAATGGTTTTCTTTGAGACTGTGGTCCCAGCTCTCTTCAAGTCATTTTCCAGGTCCTGCCGTGTAGTTCTGGGCTGATCCCTCACGAGGTGAGATCTTGCATGGAGCCCCAGACCGAGAGTGATTGACCGTCATCTTGAACTTCTTCCATTTTCTAATAATTGCGCCAACAGTTGTTGCCTTCTCACCAAGCTGCTTGCCTATTGTCCTGTAGCCCATCCCAGCCTTGTGCAGGTCTACAATTTTATCCCTGATGTCCTTACACAGCTCTCTGGTCTTGGACATTGTAGAGGGGTTGGAGTCTGTTTGAGTGTGTGGACAGGTGTCTTTTATACAGGTAACGAGTTCAAACAGGTGCAGTTAATACAGGTAATGAGTGGAGAACAGGAGGACTTCTTAAAGAAAAACTAACAGGTCTGTGAGAGCCGGAATTCTTACTGGTTGGTAGGTGATCAAATACTTATGTCATGCAATACAATGCAAATTAATTACTTAAAAATCATACAATGTGATTTTCTGGATTTTTGTTTTAGATTCCGTCTCTCACAGTTGAAGTGTACCTATGATAAAAATTACAGACCTCTACATGCTTTGTAAGTAGTAAAACCTGCAAAATCGGCAGTGTATCAAATACTTGTTCTCACCACTGTACCAAAGCTAAGGGCTGTTCTCACAACACGGAGTGCCTGGACACCGCCCTTAGCCGTGGTACTTTATATTGGCCATTTACCACAACCCCCCAGGGAGCCTAATTGCTATTATAAACTGGTTAGCGTCGTAATTAGAAACAGTAAACAAATAAATTTGCATCATACCAGCATCCAGGAGTCAAACTACCCAGTTTATAATTAAGCAATAAGACCTGAGGTGGTGTGGTATATGGCTAATATACCATGACTAAGGGCTGTTCTTAGGAAAGACGCAAAATTGAGTGCCTGGACACAACCCTTAACCGTGGTATATGAACCATATGACAACCCTCTGAAGAGCCTTATTGCTATTATGAACTGGTTACCAGTGTAAGCAGTAAAATTTTTAATGTTTAGTCATACCCGTGGTATACGGTCTGATATACCACAGCTTTCAGGGCTCGACCCACCCAGTTTATAATTGAGATTATGTCACTAATAGTCTGGTACATCAAGTGCATCATAAATGATCCAAGCTGATAAAGGCATTTTATATTCCCTCCACCAGCAACAACCAGTCTACATGGACACAGAAATAAAGACATTACAAATACAAAGTATGTTACACAATATTTTATTACGAACACAACTAGACAAGATTTTAGCGGACATAGCGCTGTATAGGTGGCAGAAAGCAGAGAAACATCCCCATGCCTCTCTGGACGGGGCAATGGACTTAACTATCTCTGATGATCTTGGTCAGTTTGTGGATCTTTGTCTTGGTGGACATGTCCACATACTTATCTCCTATACTGACAATCATACCACCCAGGATGGAGGCATCAGACTGGAGGGAAGAGAAAAGTAATACAAGTTAAAGCACCAGTCAAACCATAGGCATATCAGCATGTTCCAGATTAGTGCTAGCCTGACACTCCTAATCCTTAGTTTATACCAGGTGTTAGATAGGGCTTGGCGATATGGACATAATATCATACAGTATTTTTCTCATGTTTGACAGTATTTGATGTTTCTGAATAATAAGAGTTCTAGCCTAAATAAATAAATGGTCACCCCTACTTTTGTTTTTAAGGCATCTGTGACCAACAGATGCATATCTGTATACCCAGTCATGTGAAATCCATAGATTAGGGCCTAATGAATTTATTTCAATTGATTGATTTCCTTATATGAACTGTAACTAGGTAAAATCTTTGAAATTGTAGCGTTTATATTTTAGTTCAGTGTAGTTTTATTTTCCATAAATCTTTTGAAAATGTTAGAATTTTTCTTCCACTGACAAGTATTTAGTGTCGATCGTTGACCAAAAATGACAAATTCATTTGAATCCCACTTTGTAACAACAAAATATGGAAAACGTCAAGGGGTGTGAATACTTTCTGAAGGCAGAATAAATAAATAAATGTCAACAAAACAAAATACACTAGACAAGGTGGGATCTTTTTGTGTCTAAAATTAATAACGCGAGAAATGGTGGTTGAAACGCTTTTATGCGCAACTATTGATATAATAACCATCATATTGAAATAAACTTTGTTGTGTGGTCCTCCGACTGACTCCGGCAAGGATGCAGTTTATTAGGCTACAGATGAAATCAATTATAATTAACTTCACAGGGTGATAAATATCGTGGGCCTTATTCTGGTGATATGATGATCGATGCTTGACTGCAGTTTACAAATAAAAATCATCTTGCTCTTTTGTCCATAATATAAAATCAAATGTTATTTGTCAAATGCTTTGTAAAACAACAGGTGTAGACTAACAGTGAAATGCTTCACAAAAAAAGTAGTAATAATCTCATCAGCTGTTGGCTAAAGCGCATGTGCCAAGACCAAAGTGGGCACTTTAATATAAAAAAATTAAATAAATAAAAAAGTGACAAAACCATCAGTAGAGTTTAAAATGCGATGGAAACCTATTTAACTTGTATTTTCTATTCAGTACATGGGAATTTAACCGCAAAAGTTATTTATGTGCACTACGTCATCACTCACTGCCTTTTAGCCGCAACAAGTCAATTTGATTTAAACATCTCTGGAGGGAAAAAAACCAGTCTGTGAATAAATACCAGTATATCGTTTTCTTTTCTTACAGTTTACAGCCCAGCCAGGAGTTGACGGCAGATAAATAAAAAATCCTTATTGTGCCACAAAGGGTCTCACCTTGGTCTCGAGTATGAGAGTCTCTCCCTTTGCCAGGAAGCCGTTCAGAGCCACCTTCAGATCTGCCAGGTTAGCCTCATCCAGAGGCTGTGTCACACACACAAAGATCAAATCAAACACTACAATAACTAATATGGCACTTGGGTTGACAACTATATACACACACAACAGTGTTTGTATGGTGGTGTTACGTACATGTGCGGTGGTGACAGTGCAGATGACCTCGCCACGATGAGCACTCATCATTTTTGCAAAGGCGCCAACGACATCTGCGGTCACGGTCAGGCGGCCATTATCTGCCAACACAGCTGAGCAGGAGAGAGGGGCACAATGAAACTTCAGTGGCCTAGCCAGTAGCCACAATTAACTAACATTTGCACTAACTGCATTTTCATTCAGTAACATTAATAAGGGTGAGGATGTTCTCATAACAAAAGCCAAAATACTCTAATTCTCCTAATCTCTCCTTTTTAGCACTAGTTAATTAAGATTAGGGAGTAGCAAGCATTGCTCTTAGCTGACATTTACTTTATAGTCATGATTACAACTAGCCAACCAAAAAAGGTAGGTTGCCACTACTTGCCAAAGTCATTTCTACAATCTCTTAAAATGTGATTTTAAACCTAACTTTAACCACACTGCTAACCTTATGCCCAACCCAAACATTAAATTGACCAAAAATCACATTTTGGTTTTCATTCATTTTTACGCAATTTCTCTTTGTCTGTGGTAACTAGTTGAAACCAAAAAGGTACAGTGAGGGAAAAAAAGTATTTGATCCCCTGCTGATTTTGTACGTTTGCCCACTGACAAAGAAATGATCAGTCTATAATTATAATGGTAGGTTTATTTGAACAGTGAGAGACAGAATAACAAAAAAATCCAGAAAAACGCATGTCAAAAATGTTATAAATTGATTTGCATTTTAATCAGGGAAATAAGTATGACCCCCTCTCAATCAGAAAGATGTCTGGCTCCCAGGTGTCTTTTATACAGGTAACGAGCTGAGATTAGGAGCACACAATCTTAAAGGGAGTGATCCTAATCTCAGTTTGTTACCTGTATAAAAAGACACCTGTCCACAGAAGCAATCAATCAGATTCCAAACTCTCCACCATGGCCAAGACCAAAGAGCTCTCCAAGGATGTCAGGGACAAGATTGTAGACCTACACAAGGCTGGAATGGGCTACAAGACCATCGCCAAGCAGCTTGGTGAGAAGGTGACAACAGTTGGTGCGATTATTCGCAAATGGAAGAAACACAAAAGAACTGTCAATCTCCCTCGGCCTGGGGCTCCATGCAAGATCTCACCTCGTGGAGTTGCAATGATCATGAGAACGGTGAGGAATCAGCCCAGAACTACACGGGAGGATCTTGTCAATGATCTCAAGGCAGCTGGGACCATAGTCACCAAGAAAACAATTGGTAACACACTACACCGCGAAGGACTGAAATCCTGCAGCGCCCGCAATGTCCCCCTGCTCAAGAAAGCACATATACAGGCCCGTCTGAAGTTTGCTAATGAACATCTGAATGATTCAGAGGAGAACTGGGTAAAAGTGTTGTGGTCAGATGAGACCAAAATCGAGCTCTTTGGCATCAACTCAACTCGCCATGTTTGGAGGAGGAATGCTGCCTTTGACCCCAAGAACACCATCCCCACCGTCAAACATGGAGGTGGAAACATTATGCTTTGGGGGTGTTTTTCTGCTAAGGGGACAGGACAACTTCACCGCATCAAAAGGGACGGGGCCATGTACCGTCAAATCTTGGGTGAGAACCACCTTCCCTCAGCCAGGGCATTGAAAATGGGTCGTGATGGGTATTCAAGCATGACATTGACCCAAAACACACGGCCAAGGCAACAAAGGAGTGGCTCAAGAAGAAGCAAGAAGCTCATTAAGGTCCTGGAGTGGCCTAGCCAGTCTCCAGACCTTAATCCCATAGAAAATCTGTGGAGGGAGCTGAAGGTTCGAGTTGCCAAACGTCAGGCTCGAAACCTTAAGGAGAAGATCTGCAAAGACGAGTGGAACAAAATCCCTCCTGAGATGTGTGCAAACCTGGTGGCCAACTGCAAGAAACGTCTGACCTCTGATTGCCAACAAGGGTTTTGCCACCAAGTACTAAGTCATGTTTTGCAGAGGGGTCAAATACTTATACATTGATTTGCATTTTAATGAGGAAATAACATTTGACATGTGTTTCTCTGGATTTTTTTGTTGTGTCTCTCACTGCTCAAATAAACCTATCATTAAAATTATAGACTGATCATGTCTTTGTCAGTGGGCAAACGTACAAAATCAGCAGGGGATCAAATACTTTTTACCCTCACTGTATGGAGTGACATCCATTTAGCTTTTTCCATTTCAACATTTCAGAGGGTCAGAAGACAAGGAAATGAAGCAGTAGTTTGGTAGATGAGGCTCTTGACAGCAGAATAACAATGTTATCCTCCCCAAACCTGCCCCATTTATTTTCCTTACACAACAGCGGTTTCCAGAACAAGAGTGCACTGTGCAGTATGACTTAGTTAGGCTGGGCGACTCACTGATGAGGTTAACTGTTATTGGGGAGAGATTCGCCTTAGTCATGGCGTCACCAAAGAACTTCAGCTTGAGGCTGCGCTTGACATGGGGGTTCATCACAATACTGGACAGCTTGGGGTCCTTGATCAGAGCCTGGTGGAGAGAATGAAAAGATGGAGAGAAAGAGAGCTGGTCAAAAATGAGTGGCCACAGACAGTGCCTAACAAACTAATGTTTCCCTAGTTAATAGAGACAGTGTATATACAGTGGGGGAAAAGTATTTAGTCAGCCACCAATTGTGCAAGTTCTCCCACTTAAAAAGATGAGAGGCCTGTAATTTTCATCATAGGTACACGTCAACTATGACAGACAAATTGAGAAAAAAACAATCCAGAAAATTACATTGTAGGATTTAATGAATTTATTTGCAAATTATGGTGGAACATAAGTATTTGGTCACCTACAACCAAGCAAGATTTCTGGCTCTCACAGACCTGTAACAACTTCTTTAAGAGGCTCCTCTGTCCTCCACTCGTTACCTGTATTAATGGCACCTGTTTGAACTTGTTATCAGTATAAAAGACACCTGTCCACAACCTCAAACAGTCACACTCCAAACTCCACTATGGCCAAGACCAAAGAGCTGTCAAAGGACACCAGAAACAAAATTGTAGACCTGCACCAGGCTGGGAAGACTGAATCTGCAATAGGTAAGCAGCTTGGTTTGAAGAAATCAACTGTGGGAGCAATTATTAGGAAATGGAAGACATACAAGACCACTGATAATCTCCCTCGATCTGGGGCTCCACGCAAGATCTCACCCAGTGGGCTCAAAATGATCACAAGAACGGTGAGCAAAAATCCCAGAACCACACGGGGGGACCTAGTGAATGACCTGCAGAGAGCTGGGACCAAAGTAACAAAGCCTACCATCAGTAACACACTACGCTGCCAGGGACGACTGATCAGTGTAAAAGAAAGAATGAATGGGGCCATGTATCGTGAGATTTTGAGTGAAAACCTCCTTCCATCAGCAAGGGCATTGAAGATGAAACGTGGCTGGGTCTTTCAGCATGACAATGATCCCAAACACACCGCCCGGGCAACGAAGGAGTGGCTTCGTAAGAAGCATTTCAAGGTCCTGGAGTGGCCTAGCCAGTCTCCAGATCTCAACCCCATAGAAAATCGTTGGAGGGAGTTGAAAGTCCGTGTTGCCCAGCGACAGCCCCAAAACTTCACTGCTCTAGAGGAGATCTGCATGGAGGAATGGGCCAAAATACCAGCAACAGTGTGTGAAAACCTTGTGAAGACTTACAGAAAACATTTGACCTGTGTCATTGCCAACAAAGGGTATATAACAAAGTATTGAGAAACTTTTGTAGGTGACCAAATACTTATTTTCCACCATAATTTGCAAATAAATTCATTAAAAATCCTACAATGTGATTTTCTGGAATTTTTTTCCCTCATTTTGTCTGTCATAGTTGACGTGTACCTATGATGAAAATTACAGGCCTCTCATCTTTTTAAGTGGGAGAACTTGCACAATTGGTGGCTGACTAAATACTTTTTTCCCCCCACTGTACACACTAGTGGACAGAGAGTACTAAGACAGGAGCGAGATGTGTATTGGATAACTCACCGACAACGTCCCCATCTCCTTTTCTACTTGTTCCAGTTTCTTCTGCTTGCTGGCAGCAGAGAACAGGGCTGTGGCATAGCGGCCTCCGACCCCATACACGTCGATGGGGGGCTAAAATAGAAAACGGACGCAAACATAAGCAATAACCAACCATGAACTTGAACCACAGAGCCAATGACCACTTACATTGCTCAAGCTGTGGCGTTCGTGAACATCATATTACCAAAGGACATGAGCCGTCATCGACGGAATATTGCACTGATCAGAGAACAAGGGTAATTTCAAGTTTGACTTCTTAATTCTTACCCTGATCAAAGCTTGTCGCAGAACCGACGTGCTGAATTGACGCACCTGCAGAAGGAAAGAGATTATAAAGGCTTCATAATCAGCCAATGATTACGTCTGGAGTCTGGAGTGCAGTAGCTAACTGCTAGTTAGCTTGCTAGTTACCAAAATCGGTTTGAACTATCAAAAATCATGACCACAATTTTCTGCAATAAAACTACAATGTCATTCGCCTGTCTTATGGACTTTGGAAAACATTTAACAGTAATGTCATTGCTCCGTAACAAAGTGACAAATAAGCATAGCCAGCTATTTTCAACAAGCTAGAGGGCTGTCATTAGCTAGCTAACGTTAACGGTAGCGGGCTTGTCAAGTTCATGAAAGGCCTCGCGTGTTGTGCGTTGAAGACACATTCTGCGCGGCATCAAAACAATGCACATTGATCCATTTTGTGCCTATTAATAACCTAAATACATTCTCAAATTAAAAACACAGCCATAAATCGCATAACATTCATGTTTATCCGAAAGTCATACCTGCAGCCCCAGTCCTAATGCTGCCATTTTCTTCTGCGACTGTAGGTCAACTTCTGCGCATGAAAGCCTGTCGCAAAAGAAATACGTACACTCTGAAGCGATATGCATTATGGGAAACGTAGTTCATATGTCGATGTATTGGAAATGTACTTCCTAGAAGTGGAGAATATGGATAAGCAGCTCAGACAAGCCCTAAGAATATGTTGTGGAGCACTCAGAACCTCCCCGGTGGCAGCAATGCAGGTAGAGTTGGGAGAGATGCCGTTAAAGTTAAGAAGACAACAACTAACCATGACAAATTGGGTAAATAGTACTCCTGAGTGGCACAGTGGTCTAAGGCACTGCATCGCAGTGCTAACTGTGCCACTAGAGATCCTGGTTCGAATCCAGGCTCTGTTGCAGCCGGCCGCGACCGGGAGACTCATGGGCGGCGCACAATTGGCCCAGCGTCATCCAGGGTAGGGGAGGGAATGGCCGGCAGGGATGTAGCTCAGTTGATAGAGCATGGCGTTTGCAACGCCAGGGTTGTGGGTTTGATTCCCACAGGGGGGGGGCAGTATTAAAAAAAAAGACTAAAAAAAAGAAGAAATATGTATTCACTAACTGTAAGTCGCTCTGGATAAGAGCGTCTGCTAAATGACTTAAATGTAAATCTACAAGGTCATAAGGTTACACATCCTACAAAAAAGGTACTCCTAGAGCAGGGTTGCCCAACCCTGTTGCTGGACAACTACCCTCCTGTTGGTTTTCCCTCCAACACTAGGTGTTACTAACCTGATTCATCTTATCAACCTGCTAATTATTAGAATCAGGTGTGCTAGATTAGGGTTGGTTCAAAAACCTACAGGACGGTAGCTCTCCAGGAACAGGGTTGGGCAGTCCTGTCCTAGAGTAATGGGAACATGAACGAAATCGGAACACAAGTTTTGGGTGGATAGGCAATGAGAGAGATGGGGTTGTTTGGGAAGGAGTTTAGCCCCTTTGTGGGTCTTCCTGCTATCCCACCTTGGTTGCACAGGAGGTTGGTGGCACCTTAATTGGAGAGGATGGGCTCGTGATAATGACTGGAGCAGAATTTGTTTGATGCCATTCCATTTGCTCCGTTCCAGACATTACTATGAGCCGTCATCCCCTCAGCAGCCTCCACTGCTTGGTTGCTCCCTCAGCCAGCGATAGATCTAGGTTGCTTGAGAGGGTAAGAGCTGTTGAGGAAGGAGTAGATTCAGTTGTAAGTGAACATTTAAGAACACAGTACTATGCTTTCTTGAATATATTCACAGATGGATCTAAGGACCCTAAAACATGGAGGACAGGTGCAGCTTTTAGTGTTCCTGAGTTTAAGGTGGCAGTGACAAAAAGAGCAAAGGATCATTTATCTGTTTACACAATGGCGTTGCTGGCCATACTCTTGGCTGCAGAGGAGGTGAGGCCAGACAGGGTAGTCATCTGCTCTGACTCCTTTGCAGCACTGATTAGCTTAAATTCATGTGTGTCTCAGAGCAGACAGGATGTGTTGTTTGAGGTTTTGCAGTGCTTGTATAGGGTGAGACAGATGGGGGTATTTGTGATGTTCCTCTGGGTACCAGCTCATGTGGGAGTAGAGGAGAATAAGGAGGTGGATATGCTTGCCAAGCAGGCTCTTAAACATCCTAATGTTGAGATGGAATTGTCAATCAATAAAGCAGATGCCAAGTGGTTGATAAAAACAGTAGTTTAAAAAAAACTAATGCCAACAGTTGTGGAAAAGGGAGGGAAAGGGAAGACACCTGTATAAGATCCAGGAAAAGGTGGGGGCAGGGAGGTCCTCAGGTCAAGAGAGAAGGGAGAGTGTGTAATCACAAGGCTCAATAGTACATTGAAATTGGTAGGAAAACATCAGACTGGGAGGTGTGATCATTGTCAGGAGTAGATGGAGACAGTGGAACACGTTCTATTTCAGTACCAGCAATATGGGAGGGAAAGGGAGCGATTGTTATTAGATTTAAGGAGTAATGGGGTTGAAGAGCCAACATTAAGTGAACTGCTGGGGAAATCTTCAGGGGATGTAGTATTTAATGATGTATTTCGTTTCCTTAGGTAGACGAGAATATTGGGTAGGATTTAGACCTTCCCTGTCTCTGGTCCACACTCCAGTCCAGTTGGTGGCGGTAATGCACCTTAAAGTTGGTTGCCAACCGCCATTTAAAATCCAGAGAAGAATAATAATAATTTTCTTCCCAGATCTAAAATAAATAGCAAGTGGAAATTCACTGTCCTCGTCAGCAGACACAGGTTGGCAGACAAGCAATCAACTGAAATGCGTTTACGCAGTGTGGCTCAGTTGGTAGAGCATGGCGTTTGGAACCAGTGCGAAAATGTATGAAGTCGCTCTGGAGAAGAGCGTCTGCTAAATGACTGAAATGTAAACGTGTGGGGCAATAATATTTTCTCATCAAGGCCATATAATAGGCTACTTATCAGGTTCTCAGACAGTTTTATACAAAGCTTATAAGTGCATTCTTGCTGATATAACCTCAAGAATGTATTGATACAGGCCTAGTTGTCCCAACATCACCTGTATGAAGATACTGTCAGACTGTGTCAGTATGTAGTTTAGGTTCTGAGTGTAGATTGATCCACATTGTTTAAGCAATTCGTCTTTCATTCTCACAGATGCGCAGTGACACAGCCATAGTGGTTTCTCCAGACATCTTGTGCACCTTTCACCATGAAAGCAAAAATGTTTAGTAGTCTTACATTTGTCTCATCCTACATCAGACAGAGCCTATTTATTTATCAGAGAGAATTGCAGAAGCTAGTCACTAATCAAAAAGGGACAATCTCGCTCTCCCAGAAGCTTGGCTGGTGCGTAAAATCCGCGGATTCAGACAAACAAAAGCTGTAATGGGTCCACACTCAAAGATATCGCATAAAGCTTACTTCATTTTTCGATTTTTGTATTATTTTCACTGAATCATCTATTATAAATGTTTAAATGAATTGCATCCAGGTCTCTTCCAGGTTAACCTACTAGTTGCTATAGGCCTACCTCAGGCTTTCCACAGTCAAAGTCGAAATTGGCTATAAAAATTCATGAAATTAACGCTTAGGGTTAGGGGTAAGGTTAGCTGTGTGGTTCCTACGTCTGTGCCCAACTATTGAATACCCTGACACTGTAAATTGACGTAAATGATAGAAGCACTGAATGGGAGACCCAGCTGTCACTGTATTATTGAGACTGTAAATAACTTAAATAATTTAACATCAAATGCATCCCGTTTCTCTCCCCCATATGCTATGACAGTACATTCTAGATAGATTCATGAGTTGTATGTAGCCTGTTTGGAGGTCGGATTAAACACCAGACACCTGACACCTGTGCAATAGGCCTAGGCTATATGCCGATATACATTTCAGTAAAGTTTAACACTTTGAAGGAAGATTACAAGGGTTTTAAAAGTTAATATATCCAAAAGTGCCCGTTTCTAGATTGTTCTGTTATTATTTAACTAGGCAAGTCAGTTAAGAACAAATTCTTATTTACAATGACTGCCTACACCGGCCAAACCCGGACGACGCTGGGCCAATTGTGCGCCGCCCTATGGGACTCCCAATCACGGCCGGTTGTGATACAGCCTGGAATCGAACCAGGGGGTCTGTAGTGACTGAGATGCAGTGCCTTAGACCGCTGCGTCACTCGGGAGCCCGAGGGCATTTTCCACCCAAGTAGCCTAACAGGTTGAAAGTCATGAGGAAAGTCAATCCCCTGTTAAAAACAAAGGTTCACGTACAGTAGCATGCATTCTTAGTCGGTTGTTATCCGTTTGCGCCTCAAAACAATACGGTATTTCAATTGTAGGCTACTGGAATTAGAACAATAACCAATGTGCGTGTTGCATCTGAAACGTCACATGTGTATCACCGAAGATTCTGTATAAACTAACAAGATGCATGTCTTTTCGCCCTAACAATGGGAGTCGTTGTCCACAAATCGGCACGGCGGGCTGTCTAGCTCCCGCCTATCCGTTCTTTGGATTGGTGGATACATCTCATTATTGTAATCTATTTTTAAATATTCGATGAGGGTTGGTGACGTCAACCGCCTGTTTTCAATGGAGAGATGCTATGCTACTAGCCTCATGTCATGAATATGCATAGCAATCTCGAGACAACTCTTTTAATATGTTTTTTTCTCAAAGTTGCCGGGATGTCACGTGTCCATAGCAGTACACTCGTAACAACTTAAGCATTACGAAACTTATATTCGATCAATAACCCATTAATTTTTTGTTGTTGACCAAATTCGAAACTCATTGAGCTACATACAAAACATTGCTTGGTGGGCGAAGCAACGAAAAAACGCCACCTGCTGGAGGTAGACAGATTTTCCGCCGAGTTGGGCCTCTCTCTTCTGCTTCCTCTCTGGTATTACACGTGTAGGGCGTGGCATAGGGGAAGAAGCAGAGTCGATGCTTATAAAGAGCAGCTAGCTTGTAAACTTCATCTTCATTCACAGGTGTGATATTAAGCCTGATTGTTCTGAAGCAGAGCACACGAACTAGCTCTACATCGGAAGAACTGACACAGACCTGCTGTCGCCAGAGAAGACAGTCGCATCCTGAACTTGTGGATTGATGTAGCCTACAGTAGCTACAATATAGCGGAGTATTGTAACGTTAATGGC